ACAACAATCATTTTACCCGAACGCTCAGTGTTCTCACCAGTGCCAGGGTTTTCATGCGACGCGAGACAATACCCCCACTTCGTGGGGGGGCAGTTCAAGCTCTACCAAATATCCAAACGACTCTTCGCGACCACCCAAACCCAGCTTCCCGCCCTATGACGTTGGGACACTTCACTTCGTGGCTGCGGACGACCGTGGCTACTACACTGGCGTGGGGTACACACCCACAGAACTTGGTCACTTATTCGGGGCGCGCGTGTGCCCAAGCATCCTGCAAATTGTGACATACAATACATGACACAGACAAGACAGAGAGAGAGACGAGCGGAGACAGAAGAGAGAACGAGAGAGCGGAGTTGGTCACAATTTTGGGCAAGTTTTTCCTGATCCGCCACTGCGCCGTGTGCACTTAGCGGCGCGGAGTGTCCCCCTTGCCTATTTTTTTGCAAGGGAGTATTGAAATTTGATTATGTTAGAACAAGAAAAAGTAGCTCGCGCGAGCTCATGTAACATAAATGTTGAAAAACCATTGGTTTTGTGGGAGTCGGACAGCGCGCGCGGGATGAAATTTGGACATTTTTTTGAAAAACCATTGGGTTTTTAATGTTTTTATGTTGAAATCGCTACGAAACCTAAGGTTCTGGAAGGATTTCGTCTTGCGCGCGCGAATGTCCACTTTACCTTATTTGTGGCAAGGGATTATTGAAATTTGATTATGTTAGAACAAGAAAAAGTAGCTCGCGCGAGCTCATGTAACATAAATGTTGAAAAACCATTGGTTTTGTGGGATTCGGACAGCGCGCGCGGAAGGACATTTTGACAATTTTTTCTTAAAAAACCATTGGGTTTTTGATGTTTTTATGTTAAAATCGCTACGAAACCTAAGGTTTTGGAAGGATTTCGTCTTGCGCGCACGAATGTCCATTTACCTTATTTTTTGCAAGGGATTCTTGCAATTTGATCAAGTAAGAACAAGAATTTTCATTTTCTATTGTTTTTTGCAAGGGAAAACGAGCGTCAACAAAAAACCGGATCCGGACACAATCCACTTTTCTGAAGCTTTCGCTAGAAAATGAAGGAAATGAGGCTGCGGCCTAGGTTTTGGAGGGGGGTCGTGTACCAGGGGTCCCAACAATAATTATTCTTTAGAAGTAATAATGTTCAACAACAACAACACCAACAACAACAACAACTGATCCCGCCAGATACTCGCAAGTTAGCCCAAAATCGCGAGCTCGCTCGAGACTTTCCCACACTTTACTCAGGAATCGCGCTCTCGCCCAGGACTTCCTTGCAATTTCCTAAGGCGCCGCGCCCTCAACGCCAAGGAGATGCGCTCTCGCATGAGACTTCCTTCCTCGCAACTTACTTAGGCCTGTGCTCTCGCCAAAGAGTTGTGCAAATACTTCACGAGGTTCGCCATCAGAAGGCCCTGCCCCCACCCGATCCGCCCATCAGCCCGCCCGCCAGACCGTCACCCCGCCGACTCACACGTATGACCCATCGGGGCCAATCCGGAACGTCTGGGGCGCGCCGAACAATCCAGGGGGGTCGGACTTCGCGTCGACTTCGAGGGATTCGAGCACGGTGGTTACCCTATCTCAAGCTTCGGACGAGGACCTTATTCTCAGCCACAGGGAGCTTCCCTGCTCCCTGCTCGCTGTTACCTGCTACATCCTCCCACCTCCCTTTTTTCCCTTCCTCCTCCCGCCCCTCTTCCTCCTTGCTCCTGTTTCCCATCCTCCCTCCTCCCATCTTGTTCCTCTTTCCTCCGTCGCCTCCCTCCTCCCGCCTCCCTCCTCCCTCCTCCCGACCTCCCCGTTCCCTGTTCAAATGTTCCATCCTCTCTCCCTCCCTCCTCTCAACCTCCCTCCTCCCTCACTCCTCTTCCTTTCTCCCTCCGCCCGCCTCCCTCCGCCTCCGCCCTCGCCTCCCCCCTCCGCCCTCCTCCCTCCTCCCTCCTCCCTCCTCCTCCTCCCCCCTCCTCCTCCCTTCTCCCTCCCCCCCCTCCCCTCCCCCTCCCTCCCTCCCTCCCCGTTCCTCCCCGCCCCAGCCTCCCTCCCTCCCTCCACCCTCCTTCCCTCCCTCCCTCCCTCCCATCCCTCCTCTGTGCTCCCTCCTCCACTCTCCGTCCCGCCTCACTGTTCCATGCTCCCTCCTCCCTCCTCCCTCTTCCCGGTTCCCTGTTCCCTCCCCCCTCCCCCATCCACAATGACTCAGTCTGAATACTACTCTCCTCTCTCTCCTGATGACGTCTGGAAGTTGTCCCGCCCCCCTCCGCGTACTGATTTCTTATACACAGGATCCCCAGGAGTTGGTACAACATGTTGCTCCCGCTAAAGCGCTGGCCCCATCTCTGCGCCTCTGGTTGTTCCAAAGTGTGCCCCCGCTGCAGCGCGGGCGTTTTCGGCCCTTCGAAATAGGCCCCAAAATCAAACATATGCCCCCCGAAAAAAAGCCATCGGAAGTGATTACACATTCGGTGTCGATTCGTTGATTTGTTGGGCCGCAGAAGCCCCCCCCCACTTTGTGTCGTCGTCGATGTCAGGATGTATCAAGCGGGAGCTCCGTTTCTACTTTGGAGGCGCATGGTCAGCGGGTGCTCTCCATCAGCCCCGCCTTGCGTGGAGCCAAAGAGCTAGACATGGAGCCAGGATTCCAGACCAGCCCAGACCTCTCGTCGCGCGTCTCTTTTGAAACACCCGCCTCAGCGCGCCCGTAGATGTCTGCCATGGAATATTACCGTATACTCTTGCTGGGAGAATACATGTGTGTGTTGGCTTTGCTGGGTCGTGACACTCGTGCAGAGAGGAACAAAAAGGCAACGGGCCTGCACTGGCGGGTAACAACAACATTGATGAGCAATTGACAAAGATTTGACAACTCGATACATGAGCAACCAACCAATACGACAAGCACGACGACGACAAATCCTACCAGCCCTGAGGGTACCGCCTCTTCCAAAACAGTATCTTCTCCATCATCATTGTCTCCCCGTGGTCATGGGACCCCCTCGCGAGGGGCTGGAGCGTCCACGATGCTCTCAGGGACGGGTTCAGCATGGTCAACAACTAGTCCATTACAGCATTCAGCATGGCGCAACATAGCCCACATTTTGCCGCACTGTCTGACAACCTGGGGGCAAGTCGGTTACCAGACGGCGAAGCAGTCGACGCACCAAACGCGCGCCAACTGCGAGCCGCGCCAAACGCGCGCTGACGATGCAAACGCCAGTACAGTGGAGACGTCAGTTTACGATCCGTGGGCGCAGCTGGACTCCTGAGGCCGTCTTTCTGGCCACGTCGCCACATTCGACAACGCGCCAAGCGGCCGACGTGCGGAGTGAAGGGAAATAACCTCATGCCCGTGAAAATAAACACTAGAGGATAATAAAGTTCGGGGTTCAGGGAGAGATAATAAAAGTAGCCCAGCAGACCTCAGCATAATCTCGAAGTAAGAGATGACCAAGAGGAGACCAAGCCGAGCACGTTTTGAGACATCCTTGGCGTTTAGTTTTCGTAGAAATATCCTCAACAATGGCTTATCTCGCTGGATACATCCTCGACAAATCCCTTGTTTCGCTTGAGACATCCGCAAACTACTGCTTATTTCGCTTGAGACACAGTCAAACTATTGCTTATTTCGTTTGAGACATCCTCGAAATAATTGTGTTGTTCGCTTGTAACGTCCTCAAGCTATATATAAAAAAGAAAAATTAAAACATAAAGAATAAACTAGAAGAAATGATAGGAGGAGGAGAAGGAGGAACAGAAGAAAAAAAACTCGAGTTTCAAATCTATTAGATTTTATTTACAGGCGCTTTATGAAAATTGTTTTTTTGTAAGTGCTCGTGTAGGGTAGCTCATGTGCCTCAATTTCCATGGATAATCAACCCCAGAGATAAAAAAGTTCAGGCGAGCGTGGGGACAGAGAGAAATATAAAAGAAGAAGCATACAGTAGAATAAAAAAGAAAGAAGAAAAAGAGGAGAATAAGAAGAGGACGAAGAAAGGAAAAATCTATAGTTCCAACTCTATCAATTTTAATGTACAAACGCTTTATGAAAATTGATTTTTTAAGTGCTCGTGTAGGGTAGCTCATGTGCTTCATTTTCCATGGATAATCATACCCAGGGATAAAAAAGTTCAGGCGAGCGTGAGGACAGATAGAAATATACAATAAGAAGAGGAAAGTAGAAGAATAAAAAGAAGAGAAGAAGAAGAGAAGAAGAAGAAGAGAAGAAGAACGGAAAAATGGAAAGTTCCAAATCTATCAATTTTAATTTACAAACGCTTTATGAAACTTGATTTTTTAAAGTGCTCATGTAGGGTAGCTCATGTGTTCCCCTTTCCATGGATAATCAACCCCAGAGATAAAAAAGTTCAGGCGCGCGCGGGGATAGATACATATATAAAAAGGAAGATAATAAAAAAATATAAAAAAAAGAAACAACTTGCTGGTTTAGCTTGAAACATCCTTGAGACATCCTTGAAACATTGCTCGTTTCGTTTGAGTCTGCCTCCCAAAATTATTGGTTTCGCTTGACACATCCTGAAAAAGTGTGATCGCTTCGCTTGATGTTGCTATCTCAACATCGCTGGATGTTGCTATCTCAACATAGCGTTTCGAGGTGATAATGAAGTTCGGCCTCAGCGCTCGCCGCCCAATTTGAATTTTGTATAGGGCGACGATAATCAACTCTAAACACTGAAGGGGGGGGGTCCCTTTCTTATCATCGGCATGCGGTTAGAGGATGAGGAGGAGGAGGAAGGCAGAGGAAGAAGAGGAGGGCCCGATCAAGTAGTTATATCACAACGTTCTCATCGTATCGTGCAAATTCACCCAGAATGGACCTAGGTGACAAACAAGCTTGCACGACCGCATCACTCAAAAATATGCCACTGCGGTAGAGGCGTTCTTGGGACTGGCACCGAGACCAAGCCCGTCAATCGAGAGCAAACTGATTATTTTATGGCACTTCAGACTGGGCTCAGCTGCGGCCGTGTGGTCGTCCAATCCCAGAATCCCGCCCACAGGGTAGCCTGCAAATTTCAGGTTGCGGACGAAAAAGTTCAGGTAGACGATGCCACTCTTAGTGTGGCCCTGGACCACTTTCAGCTCCACCTGGCCGTATCGCAGCCAACGCCGGGACTCCTTCTCAGCGACATGGCCGGCGCTGAAGGCGCGGCCCTGGGAGCCGACCCATCTTCCCGTCAGGTTCACCGACTGGAAGTACATGTCAGCGCACGCCGCGCCCATCTGCCGCGCCTCCGCATCGACGCTCAGCAAGGCGGCCCCGCGCTTGGCACCCCTGGGAACCCGCAACAACGTGTGCCATCCCTCCTTGCGGAGGTCGAACCTCTGCCCGAGCACGTTGGCGAGGTGAGGGTCCCCAGTCGCCTGCGCCGACCCACCGGCCGCACCGGCGCGCGGCGAGTCTGGCGTCGGGCTCGGCGTCGGGTTCGGCGTCGGGTCGGGCGTTGGGAAAGCCGTCGGGTAGGGAGTCGGGAAGGCCGTCGGGTGGGGCGTCGGGTATGGCGTCGGGTATGGCGTCGGGTATGGCGTCGGGTAGGGCGTCGGGTAAGGCGTCGGGTAGGGCGTCGGGTATGGCGTCGGGTATGGCGTCGGGTAGGGCGTCGGGGAGGCTGTTTTGACCGTCACGGTATGCGACCCAGTTGCTGTGAAAGTATGAATTTGGTAGCCATTCCTCGTTGTGACTGTGCCACCTTGGAGCAACTGGGTGGAACTCATGTACCTGATGATTACGATGCCGGACCCTCCATTGCCAGCCAAAGAAGATTCAGGATCCGTGCCGCCGCCACCACCGCCAGTGTTTGCCTGTCCGTGTCCGCCATTGAAATAAGCGCCGGAACCATAGCCAAGACTGCTGCCACTGCCGCCACCCCCGAGGCCGCCAGCCCCTCCTGGATAACTGGAACAATAACAGTTTGCGTTGACGCCACCGCCACCGCCTCCGCCGTAATACGTAGAGTAGCCTGAGATTGACGACGCCACTCCAACGCCACCATCCCCCCCGACATTCTGTCGGGGTGCGTTGCTCCCAACGCCGCCCGCACCGCCGCCGCCACCGCCTGCGCCGTATCCCCCCCTGTCGCTCCGCCCACCACGGTTGCCTTGTCCCGCGACCCCAGCCGCGTAGGCAACGTAAGGCAGATCCCAGGCGCCTCCACCGCCTGAGCCCCCGCTGTACGCAGTCCTGGAACTGCCCCCCGCACCCCGACCGCCGCCATATGCCCTCAGAGAGCCGATCGAAGAAGAACCTCCGCTCGTTGCCTCCGCAGAAGCCCCATACCCATGCCCCCCCGCACCTCCGCTACCGCCAGCGCCAACCGTGATGACTGCGCTGCCAAATATGACCAAGCCCGTCCCTCGGAGCACACCGCCGGCGCCGCCGCCCCCAGAAGCGCCGCCACCGCCGCCGCCGACAATCAGGTATTCCACTGTCAGAGTCGACTGCGCCGCCTGCTTCTCCCAGGTGGCATTTACGTAAGTGGCGATCGCCGCGGGAGGTTCGGCCTTGTCGAGGTGCAAAGCTCCTGCGCACAGCCTAGCAAGAGAAACAGCGCCGAGGTGCCCGAACGGCTTCATGGCCCGAGACGAGGGTTCTTGTGAGATGCTGAACACCGCAAAACGTGCGCCACAAAATGCTTCAGTATACATAATAAATACGTACGGACAACATAAGCCGCCCCATCCCCACTCCACGGAGATCCCGACAATCCTCCTCCATCTACCCTGTCCTCTCTAATCCCCTCCTCCTCCCCTCCCCCTCCCCCCTCCTCTCCTCCCTCCTCCCGCGTCCGTGTCCACTCGTTCCCTCGTCCCTCTCGCCTCCACCCTCCCTCCCTCCTTTGACCTCCCTCGTCCCTCGTCCCTCGTCCCTCGTCCCTCGTCCCTCCTCCCTCGTGCCTCGTGCCTCGTGCCTCGTGCCTCCTGCCTCCTCCCTCCTCCCTCCTGGAGCACATCCCTCCTCCTTCCTCCCTCCCCCCTCCTCCCTCCTCCCCCCCTCCCGGCTCCCTCCTCCCTCCTCCCTCCTAGCGCCTCCCTCCTCCTTCCTCCCTGCTCCCTCCTTCCGCCTCCCTTCCTCCCTTCTCCCGCTCCCCCACCCGTTCCCGCCAAAAACTTCGCACGTGTGTCACAAAAAGGCTCAAGGCATACATGATGGAGACGGACACAAGAAGCGGCCATCCCACTCCAGAGATCCCGATCAATCCCTTAAGGGATGCTATATAATCCTTAAGGGATGCTATAGAATCCCTACGGGAAGGCTGCAGAATCCTTAAGGGATGCTATAGAATCCTAAAGGATGCTATAGGATCCTGCAGGGATGCTATAGAATCCCTGAGGGCTGCTACAGAATCCCTAAGGGATGCGATAGAATCCCAAAGGGATGCAATGTAATCCTCAAGGGATGCTATGGGATCCCTAAGGGATGCTACAGAATCCCTAAGGGGAGGCAGCAAAAAACCCGAAGGAATGATACAGAAACCCGAAGGGGAGGCTGCAGAAACCCTAAGGGGTGCTATAGAATCCCTAAGGGATGCTATAGAAACCCAAAGGGATACTATAGAATCCCTAGCTGCTGCCATGGAGTCCCTCGGGGATACTATAGAATCCCTCAGGGCTGCCATAGAATCCCTTAGGGCTAATCCCTTAGGGCTGCCATAGAATCCCGAAGGGCTGCCATAGAATCCCTAAGGGATGCTATAGCAACCCTAAGGGATGCTATAGAATGCGCGAGGGAAGGCTGCCGAACCCCTAAGGGATTCTTAAGAATCCCTAGGATGCTATAGATCCCAAGGGATGTCCATAATCATCCTTAAAGGGTGCGACATAACCCCTAAGGAGAGGCTGCGGAACACCTAAGGAATGCTATATAATCCCAAAAGGGATGCTGTATAATCAATGATGGAGGCTATAGAATCCTGATGGGATGTTATATAATCCTCAGAGGGATGCTGTAGAATCAATGAGGGATGCTATAGAATCCTCAAGGGGATGCTATAGAATCTCTCAGGGATGATGTATAATCAATGAGGGAGGTTATATAATCCCTAAGAGGTGCCATAAAATCCCTGAGGGATGCTATAAAATCCTTGAAGGATGCTGTATCATCCGTCGAATCCTTAAGGGGATGCTATAGAATCCTTAAGGGGATGCTATCGAATTCTTTAAAGGATGCTATAGGAGCCTTGAGGGATGCTACAGAGTCCCTGAGGGATGCGATAGAATCTTGGAGGGATGCTACAGAATCCATAAAAGGGCTGCTATTGAATCCCGAAGGGATACTATAGAATCCCCAAGGGATACTATAGATCCCTAAGGGATGCCATAGAATCCCCATGGGTCCCGGCGCGTTGCCCCGCGTCCCTCAGTGGCCTGCCACACAGGGGGGAGGCGCATGCCCAAATGGCTTGAACCACAAATGAAGAGAGGGAAAAGAGCGTGCCCACGTCAGCCGCAAGGCCACCAGAGCCACGGGAGTGAAATCCGCCGCCGTGCATCCTGTACGGCAGAGGCGCGTTAGAAGCTGGGCCGGCACGGGAACGAAAAGAGCTCCATGTGGGGCCAGGGCCTACGGACGACGAATCCCTCGATACAACGTGTTGCCGGAATGAATGCCTTCGGTGTGGCTCCGGGTGGGGCCAGGGGACCACGATCGCTCGGAGAGGGGGTGGTGCCAGTGGTGCCGAAATGAAGCTTCGTGGCCCCCTTTGGGGGACGGTGCCACGACCATCCGCCGAGAGGGGTGTGCCGAAATGAAGATTCGGTGGAGCTCCCTGTGGGACCAGGGCGACGATCCTCGAGAGGGGTGTGCCGAAATGAAGTTTCGGTGGAGCTCCCTGTGCGGCCAGGGCCGCGATCCTCGAGAGGGGTGTGCCGAAATGAGGCTTCGGTGGAGATCCCTCTGGGGCCAGGGCCACGATCATGCTTGAGGGGTGTGCCGACATGAAGCTTCGGAGAAACCCTCTGTGAGGGGAGAGCCACGATCCTCGAAAAAAACGGTGTCCGGGTGTGCAGAAATGAAACTTCGGCAGGAGCTCTCTCATGGAGACCAGGGCCCACGGATCCGTCGAGATGGGTGTGCCGAATTAAGCTTCGGAGGAGCTCCCTGTGAGGCGAGGGGGCGCTATGGGATTCCTATCATTCCTGCTAGAAATGCCTCCCACCATAAATCGTAAAAACCCGATTTTTAATTCTATGATAATATATAGCCCTTCCGTGGGATCCTCTAGGACCGTATAAAGGCCGTAATAATTCCCGTAGAGGCTCTCTCGGATTCCTATAAGATTCGTGGAGGCCCTACTATGTGGATTACTTCATGGTCACAATTTGTAGTGAAAAGAGGGCAGGATTCCTACAAGATTCCTATGGGATTCGTTGCTATGGAGATACATTTCTAGAAGGCCCTGTCGGATTCCTATAAGATTCCGAAGAGGATTCGTGCAGGTCCTCTAAGATACTTTTCAGAAACGTATAGAAGTCCTATAGGATTCGAACAGGCCCTACAGGATTTCTATGGGAGTCCTATAGGATATGTAAACTCCCTCTGGGATTCCTATCAGATTCCTATAGGAGTCCTATAGGGTTCGTAAACGCTCTATATGAAACCGATGAGACTCCTATAAGAATCCGATAAGATTCGCAAAGGCCCTATCGGATTCCCACAGGTTTGCTATAGGATTCTATGGCACTCGTAGACAGGCCTTAAAGGAGTATTATGAGATGCCTATGGGATTCCTATCGGAATCGTGGAGGCCCTATAAGCTTCCCATGGGATTCCTATAGGAATCCTAAAAGCCCTATAGGAATCCCATGGGATTCTTGTTGGACTCCTACAGGATTCGTAAGAGGCCCTATAGGATTCACATCGGATTCATATAGGGTTCCCATCGGACTCATGCCGTATAGGATTCCTATAAGATTCAAATTGGATCCCTTTAGGATCCGTAGAGGCTCTCTAGGACTCCCATCGAAATCCTGTAGGATCCTTATCGGATTCGTAATGAGGCCCTCCAGGATTCCTCTGGGATTCCTAAAAAGAATTCCGATAGGCTTCGTAGAGGCCCTATGAGATTCCCAAGAAGGATACCTATAAAATCCGTAAATGATTCGTAAGGAGGCCCTATAGGATTGTCAAAGAATCCCTATGGGATTCCCATCGGACTCCTAAAAACCCTATAGGACTCCAATGGGATTCCCATCGGAATCCTACAAAGGCCTTATAGGTATCCTACAGGCTTCCTAAAAGGATTCCTATCGGATTCGTGAAGGCCCTATAAGATTCTCATCGGGTTCCGATGGGATTCCCATATGATTCGTAAAAGGCCCTATCGGATTCCTATAAGATTCCCATGGGATTCCCATAGGATTCGTAG